AAACCAGGGGTAACCCCCCCCCCCCCCCTCCTCATCAAAAATGCTTGATTGGATTATAAGGTAAATTTTTTTTTAAAAAAGGAGAGAAAAAAGATCAATTGAATGAAATAAAGTAAATCAATAGGTAGAGAAAAAAAAACAAAGACAGAAAAGATCTTTTTTATTGTAGGAGATGGTCAGCCAGAAGCTCTGAACAAGAAAGCCATTCAGATTGTGAACAGGGTCAGAGATAAACTGACAGGTGAGCTTAAGACGCAGTTCCACTCCAGTAGGTTGGGACAGCTCAACTTAGCACAATGTTGTAAAATTGTAATTGTGATTGCTGAACACGTGGAGTCCAACTTATACCTCTGTTTTGCCTTGTGGTGGATATTCATGTAGTGGAGAAACCGACTGAGATTGACCATTTTTTCTCTTTCATCCTCAGTCATATAAAACAGTTAACTTAAATATTACATGTAGATTTTTTTCATTGGACTGTAAGAGAATTGAATCATATAAATGCCTATTCTTTTACCCAACTTTTACCTCTGAGATTACCATGTGAAAGCAGTTTTGAAAAAGTATTATTGTTATTATTTTTATTCCAGGTCGTGATTTCCAGTCAGACGAGTCCATAGATGTTCCAACCCAAGTCAACCTTCTGATCAAACAGGCTACTTCCCATGAGAATTTGTGTCAGTGTTATATTGGATGGTAAGTGGCTTGTCTTCATTAAAATGTACTGACATCTATGGGAATGTTGTCATTTTTGCAAAGGTATGTGATTAAATTGTCTCAGAAAAAAAAACTTATATGGGGACTTTGTCTGTGTCAGAATGGCAGTAAGTAAAAGTAAAAAAAAAGAAGAAAAACAATGTCTGTGGTTTTATCATTTTAAATTAATGGCGATTTTTTTGCTCATTTCATTTCAGGTGCCCATTTTGGTAAACTAGCACGTGGGTGAACACAGACATTTTACTACACATTCAGTAACCATGCATCAACAACGTTGGACTTTATTGCCTCTGAGTCAGCTAGTGTGCCATTGTCAACTGTTCAATTTTCGCCCATAAATTCAGTCTGATTTAATTATCCTAATTGGCTTAAGTATACTTAATTGTATTTTTCAAAACTAGAATTTGATCAAGTAAAACCAAATGATTAATTGTAATGAGTTTTAGTGATGGCACAAGGAGAGTAAAACAACAAGGCATATTTCAAAATAAGCGATAGCAAGTTAATGAGAATCAGTGCATTTTTTCTCTGCTGATAGATTCAATTTTGCATTCAGGTGCTTTCAGTTGGTACTCCTGAGGAAAATGTGCTTACATCTGTGAAAAGTTTGTCAGTGTTTCAAATACCGACAAGAAGGTAGTCTTGATTGTGATTGGGACGATAAACAATATTTATTGTAAAAATGTAAGGATGAAGTACATTTATGTTTCATTCTATGAACTGAATATGTAAAGCGTGAATTTCTAGTCAAGAAAACATTTCATATATAAAGGCATTGTTAATAAAAACCGTTAAGTCACAGCACATCGTTGTAGGAATTGGAAGGATAAATGGAATGAACTGACGAATAAGATATGCTGATCGAGATCAGATTTATTGTTGACTTTTAATTGCTTTGCGGTTTTCTCATAATAAATTATAATAATAAAAATGTTCCTATTGCACCCAGTACTGACCAGAGCATCTGATGGCTTGTCAATTTGCTCAATAAATATCGCCATTGGCTTTAATAATACGTTTTTGTCTGTTAATTGCAATGATCTTGAATTTTGAGAACCGTGACGCGACTGAGGGTCCGCTGAAATACGGTGTCCGGTGAAACGTGACAGTCCGCTTCCCATTCATTTGTACAGGTAAGCCTCGCCCTAGATTTTGTCCCACGTAGGTCAGGCTAACCCTATTATAACTAAGACTTTCTGTTACGTGGACCCTCAGTTTCGTTACACCGGTTCCCATTCATTTGTATAGGAAGACTTCAAACAAAGTTTGTACCCAGTGGTCACGGTTACCCTAACTGAAACAGGGCGGATTGTTTTATACACGGACCTCTAGTTACGTCGCATCAGGGCTTGGACTCCCCCTTTCTTCATTGATTACATGTGCAAGCATTGTTTTCACACGCTGGGCGAGAGAACTGTTCTCAGGACTTCATGTTTAGTCAGTGAAACCAATTCGCAGTGGGACCTTTCATTATTTTCGCCACAGGCTGGTACCCGATGGGAAAAAATCAACTGGGAAACTTCCCTAACTACCCAATCTTTACTACTGGCATCATTTTAAAATCCTGAACCATCTTTTAAATCACATAATTTTTTACCCTGATTTTAACGAACTATTAAGCAGAAAACCGAAACCATATCTCCTAGGCGCCAACCTACCCGAGCCATAGATAATGAACTGTCCGTAACTAGGCACAGTGGGCGTCGTCTCTGCTCGTGGTGGTAGTGATTCCTCGTGGCGCTGGCATGGAGATTTAACTACACCAGGTCCTCTCTAGGGGCCAGTACACGTTTATAATTTATTTTCAACCTGAAAAGTTGGTGTTTTTGACAGTTGAAAGGTGCCCTATTTTAAGCTGAGATTCGGCAGTGATAAGAGAAAGAAAAATTGCTGGGATTACCCAATTTGAAGGCGAGGGAAGAACTCAGTTGGGCTGAAGTTTTCACTTGGAATTCTGAAAGGAAACGCGGACACTCACCCCGTTGAAATAGTTAAAAATGATGGCCAGGCGATTTAGAACATTCTTGCTCAGGCGAGTTCTGCCAAAGATATCAGCAGTGCGTCTAAGTTTGCTTTTGCTTTGCGCATGGGTATTCTTCGCTCTGAGCGTAGCCCGTAGGGAAATCAGGGAAGCTTATAGTGTTGACTTGGTCCGTACAAAAGGCCGTTCTTTGGTCGCCCAAAGCGCACTTGTTATTGCCCCTGACACAAACTCCAGCTCCTCCAACAGTTGCATGCTCCCCGAGCACGTGTGTGCCAGTAAGGAGGCAACGGAGCCTCGCCGTTGGTACCACCTTAAGAAATACGACTACGTCATCAACCGACCATTGTGTGACCCGAAAGCCCCGCCGTATCTCCTGGCACTGGTGGTCTCCGAGCCGTGGGATTATTACGGAAGGTCCATGTACCGAAGGACTTGTGGGAGTATTAAGACGCACGCCTTTCAGGAGACAAAAACGGTGTTTTTCGTAGGGGAACAACCAGGAACGGAAAATGACATCGCCAATGAAGCTCTTCGGTTTGGTGACGTTGTCAAGGTAGGGTTTGTGGATTCCAAGGGAAATCTCACCCTTAAAACGCTTCTGGCGTTTCGTTGGGCGTTTGAGTATTGCCCCGGAGCGAGATTCGTTCTGAAGTGCGGACATGATGTCATTGCAAACTACCCTGAGATCGTGCAGTACCTTTCTAATCTATCTGTAGTTGGTAATTCAACGCATCTTTTCAGCGGACTGCTACGACAGGAACCGACGAGAAACGCGTGGCTAGAGCCTGATTGGGATCCAAATGCACCAAATTTTGCGCCCCACATTGCAAGCTTCGCCTCCCTTCTCTCTCTTGACACTGTGCGCCTCCTTCACTCAGCCTCGCTTTCAAAGCGCCTCCACACAGAGGCTCCATTCATGTCGTCAATAGCAACTGAAAAAGGAATCCGGTTGGACAACAATACAAAGTTTTGGGAAGCTACCAAATTAGGATTTGTGGATTTGGCGCGTGATAGGTGTCGTCTGCTAACGGCGTTGGTCATACATCGAGTTCCCGATCCAATCGTCTGGAATTTGGTTAAGAGAGGATATGTGGACAAGAAAAATGCATGCACAGGAGGCGGACAGGTTTTTCAAGCCCCACAACCTGTTGTAAAATATGTTGGCAATCCTGAATCAGATCGAGAAATTATACTAGAGAAAGCGGAAGACTGGGTTTATTAAAGCTTGTTGAAATGACACATCTGACTTGATATCATCGATTTCGATGTGTTATGGTTTGTTTGTTAAAATTGGTTAATTAAACATATGTTGCTTATCTTCATATCGTCATAGGCCTATGTTATTGCTTTAAAAAGTCATTCAGCAATTTTATCACTTTAAAAATTCTCCAGGGCTTGTGGCCGAAAAGAATTTGACGGTGCTGCAGCAAATATCCAACAATGCACACATCAAACAGCTATTCACCATTTAAAAAAAAGGCATTTCCATTTTGCTCCTGTACTGGAAACAACGCCCAGTATCAGCATCTTGTTTGTCGTTATCACCCTGAGTAGGCCTATATACCTATATTATAGAGCCGCTTCCAGTGACGGCAGAAGCATGCCAATGCCGGGACGTGGTTCTCAACTAGATATGAACCTCAGGGTGTGAGTAAAAAATGGCCATGATAATGGTAATAATATTGCTTTGTTAATGAATATAACCCGAATTTCGGTAACACATGCTGTAATCTATCACGACTTCTGTTGATGATTTACGTTTGATGTTACACTGAATTTGAAGCATGTGCCAGCGCTTTTTACTGATCATTACGTCTATATAGGTGTTGTTAATTCAAAGCAACCAAGAATGACGTATTATCAAATCATAACTGAAAGGGACAGTCTCTACATGTACACTGATGTTCTTCGTTGTACTTCTCTTTGATTTTTGAAATGTTTTCATTTTTATTAAGTATCAACTTATTTGCCGGGTTTCATTTCCGTTATCGGTCTTTTTTACCCTTTTTTCCACGATCAGTGTATGCATTAGCAGACAAAATCGTTTTTTTGCTCTGTACGTTTTATTCACGCTTGCTTCTGCTGTCAGTTATCTTGTCCAAACATGATGGTAGCTACATATACCTGCTGAAAACCTGTTTGATCAAGCGGTTACATACAGTGCATATAATACTGTAGATGTAGACATAATAGAATTAAAGTAATTCTCTGGTAGCTAGATTAAGGGTATTTTACGGACTGTGTAGTTCCCCATCTTTTGGTCTAAGAGCGTATTCAGAACAGCGTACTAACATATCCGCGGATAAAATATGGCGACTCACTAAAAAGCTAGCCGCTTAATTCCAAATTAGACACATAATAGATTCCCAAAGGGGATAACGCAACAAGCGTTCAAGTGGGTCGACTATATTTGATCCGCGGATCTGTTAGTCGGCTGTTCTGAATGTGCTCTATGAGGACATAGTCAGTACGACGTACATGTAACATTTGAACGTGATTTTTAATCGTTATCACCATTGGCTCCACAGCTGACTCACAGTTTAGGCTACCTCAACCGGCGGATGGGACAAACGAGGGATGAGATTGGCTCTTAGGGTGATCTAACCATAGTTACATGGAATGTTGGGTATGCTCTTCAAAAGCTTTATCAGGTCGTAAATCACACGCATCATTTGGTCACCATAAGGATTTAAAGAAAACACGGTCTTGACATGCTATGCTTTTTCTGCCTCAAACTACTATTTTTTCCATTTATGCATTTCTCTTAATTTTCATGGTAGCAGTTTTTAGTAGACAACCGTAGTCACAATTATTACCGGTCACCGAAGCAAATTTCATTGACGATCTCCGCTTATCTTCAGGAAATATCGTAGAATCCTGGCAGTGGCTGTACGTACACGTTAAACACACCATAGCACACTGTCGAAACCACCAACCACCACCTGAAAAAAATTTAATTCTTGGTTAAAAATACATCTACATGTATCTACATGTATAACGTTTTTATGAATTGAATTCATTTTCCTGATGTAATTGTAAACCTGCGTGCAATCTATTTGTACATTTAGCGGGGAATTAAAGTACCTCTAATTCATGAAAATATTGCAAACTAAGTATGCAACGAAACTAAACGTGTTTTCTACTTAGTCCGACTTCCAGATCTAACGCAGAAGAGTCGGTCAAGTTACATCTAACAAAGACCTTTGACCATGGACTGGAACGCCATGACTTGAAGTTAGGGAAGAGACAGATCGTAAAGTTCTTGTATAGATGGACGAAATCTTCCTGTCATTTTGCACCAGAACTTACCGAAGCTAATCGGGCAGTTTGTATTTCGGGCCCGGTCATATGTTGAAAAGCCTGCTCCTAATGGATTCGTCAAGAAGTCCACGGCTTTCGTCGTGTTGGTCGTGTTAAAAGACTCGACCAACATGTCCTTCACTTTGTAATTCTGATACTCTGACCCAATCCTAAACAGGCTCCACCTTGCGTAGTAATACCTCCCGTTGCAAGAAAGTAGGTCCATTTGTAAGGAATAATTATTTTGATTGGTCAGTTGATAGATGACCTTATTTCCTATCCAGAACTGATTGGTTGGATCACCAAACCCGTGCTTGTATGACGTCCAACTTTGGTTAAAGTTGACGTCATCATTGTAGCGCCTCATGATGATCAGCCAGTCACCATCATACGTGTAAGTGTGATTATCTAAAACGCAACTTGCAGTATACGAAAACATGCAATTCTAAAGAGCATCTGCATTAATTTAAAGAATCCAAAATATTTTAACCAAGGAACGATGAGTTGCATGTTGATATTGTAACTTTCTGTACGAGATGACAACTATTAATGTTAATGATACCCTTATATTGTATTCATTAAAAGCTGTTTCCACGTGTCTGGTTGTCTGCTTAACTACATGTAAATTGTTCGTCGTTCGATTTGTCTGCACGATCAGAAGCCTTTATTTTCATGTCTGTATGTTTGTCTGTCGGACCTGTCTGTTTCTGTTTGATTTTCCCCTAATCTGTGTATAAATACTCACTTGTCTGTCTGTCTGTCACTGTGGACTTACCTCTTGAGTTGGAAGCCGTCTAAAAGTAAAAGTGAACTACATTCAACTCAGTAGACTGTTTCACAGTTACTGAGTATTAGAAACGATTAAAAGATAAATAAATAAATGAAATAAATAAATAAATAAATAAATAAATATTATTTTGCACATGTCATCCGACTCCATGACCGAAATATAAGCCAATATACAAACTAGAAAAGCACTCAGAAACGGCAGACCTCCGCCAAGGCATCATTAATGGACCATCACCCAAACCTAATCAATTTTAAGTTTAGAGCCTTAAACTAAATAACCAACGAAAGCAAAATGATCCATAGAACAGGTAACCGTGATATTCAACCTACCTCTATTCTGCCGGTCACGTTCAACTTATCAGTCAGACCACAGGCATTAGGGGAATAGGTCCCGTCTTCTTCGCTTATGACGTCACACCTAACGTTGTTGTTGACGATCTCCGGCGTTCCGTTCAAAAGATCACATTGTTGTGACGCTTTTCGAAATCCAAATGAAGCACAACTTGAAAAATATTAATAATTCTACTTTAAGAATTTTTAATTTTATTGAGGCCATTTCTTAAAAAAAAAAAGAAAAAGTTAATTGCGATAAAAAAATGGCCGTTTTCACTCCTGTTTCAGGCCGTTGATAAAAGTAGCCTATGTCATCTGATGCTTAAGGAGGTTTTATCCAAACCGAAATTTAAGCTGCATTTTCATTCATGTTTGTGACGGCTTTGCTTACGAGTAGTTCGACATACTATATCGCGACAGACTATGTGATGAAAAACTATAATTATGGCCTGTCTAACTGCTATGCATTAAGTGAAGCCGTCACAATTAAACTGGGAATTTGACGTTCGATTGCAAGGAATTAACTGATTTAGCCTGCTAGCCGGTGTAGACCAATAAAGTTTCATCTGTCGATCCGCAAAAAATATTGGCTGGGAAATGTCAATTAATTTCTTCTATAGCTATTGACAATTGAAACGCTATAAGCTAACAAAAATATTCAACATTACCCTGGTGTGCTCTCACATATATTCGCGCACGCCGACGCAGACATGATATTTTGGACAGTTTCCTGCACAGCGTCTGTCATGCGGCATCTTGGAATTGCGCAAAAACATGCACCGCACTGCGAATGCACGCATTGAAGAGAATGACCAACGAGGACAACAAACGGCAATAATAGCATGGCTGTCCTATTGCGTGTACTTCTGGACATGCTGTCCGATCTTCACATCAAGTATCACAAAAATAGTTGTACATACAAATCCTAATGGCACTTTCCATTTACGAAAATTTTCCGTGTTATAATATTCGAATTTTGGCTTCAGGCAATTGAAAACAGCATGTTTCATCAATTCGCCTTTTAGTGAAGGCATCTAAAATGTCCCTCTGTCGTTTGGTGCGAACTCTGAAGCCGATTCATCTGAAGAAAGCTATTTGTACGAGATAACCCTCGTTTGCTCTTGACTCCTTTCCATACGGGGTCTTGTGCGAAGTGTTTATCTGGCACTTGCGGTGGATCTGTTTACTTGCTCCCAGGATATCCCATGGTGAATTTCTCCTCAATGATATCACTGTGACGTTGACTGGACTACTACTACAGAGTAACCGGCTGTGCCCTGTCATTGACCCTATACATATACATCCACACAGTCAGTTACTAGGTGTGAAACCGCCAAGCATATTTATAAATTGATAATAATAAGAAGAGGGCAGTCTATTGTTGACGATAGTGTTTCGATCTTTGTGAATATCCTACAAATGACGCATCAGGGGCGTGTCTCACAATGAAATTAATGAACAAAAACTGAGCTGGTCGAAACTTTAAGACTAAAATTCCAGTCAAATCCTCCTTCTATTATAAATCATTATTATTCCAGTTATTGTGCCTGTTGCCAAACAGCTAGGCCTGGTTTATGTATCAGACTTTTTTCTCTTTATCAAAATGGACAGCATGATTAATCCCGCAATGAGCAAAAAATGGTCTAAAAGTTTTAACTTAAAAGCTTAAAAGCATGTAACATTTTGAGATGATCCCTTGTATAGAGAGCGTCGTACAATGATGATGGACCACCTGTCCTAGGTGACAATCCCCAAAAAGGTGAGGTGAGGTTCACAATACAGTTGGGACTAACAGGTGACATATTATGGACGCAGTTATTGGCAATCCCCATTGAAAAGATGGATTGCGTCCTAGTATAAATGGATATCTAAATGTATTATTTTCGCAAATATTGGTGTACTGGTACTTGAGGAAATAGAGATTGATGGAGTCACGATAATCAATAAATACTTCAAGATGACCCTGGTATAACTCTAATTTGTTGGGCCCGTGTTATGTTGCATAATTTTTTGTTCACCAGTGGATTTCAAGATGATCTTGATAAATGCTGCATGTGGGCTGTCCTTCAATCATTGAACTAATTTTGTCGTCTGAAGCAGACGATAAACGCCAGAAAGTTTCAGCAGGTCAGGGGCGGATCTAGGATTATTAGACAGGGGGGGGGGGGGGGGGGGCCGGGGGGGGGGAACCCCCCCCCCCCCCCCCCCCCCCCCCAATTTAGACTAAATGCATGATCCGACCTCTCAAAGTGTTTTAGTACAAACTGTATCACTTGGTATGCTGCTTCTTGTTGAGAGGAACTTAAGATACAGCAGTCTTCAAATCATCAACTGTAAGTAGAACTTGAGATAATTTTTAAAAAAAATTATACCTCAAATAATCTTCAAAACAAATGCACCAGGGAATAAGAACATCGTAACTCTAAGCAAGTCCAGAACTGTTTATACATCAGCAATTACATGTTCCGTCTGATTTTCAAAGGAAATTCGCCAAGTTTTAGACATGCTTCTGGCAGCTGTTCTAGGCAGAGAAAAACACCTCGTCAGGGAATTTTGCCNAGCCCCCCCCCCCCCCCCCCCCCCCACACACACACACACACACTTGGCGTGGGTTCGGGGCCCCGAAATGTGTGGTATGTAAGAGGGCGAACGGTGCCATTGGGTACGGTTTAGAGCATTCAGCTAGAGCATTCAAAGATTCAGCTAGTCAAAATTCTAATTTCAAGAGGGGACCAGAAATTGAAGGGGGGAGGGGGTCAGGACCCCCCCCCCTCTAAATCCGCCACTGCATGTTATGATAATCATTTCCTACTCCTTAATAATAATAATAATTGTTGTTGTTGTATGTTTGTGTGACGGTAAAAATACCAGGCTGTCGTTATTATTGAGTTGTTAGTTTTGCCCATAGAAGGCCTTTCTTGAAATGCCAGTTGTCTCATTAAGTTAATATGTAGGCGTGTATTTAAGGTCGAGTTTACATAAAAATAGGAAGTAAAATTCTTTCATAACTAAGAAAATCAAAAAGTATGAACGGAAAGTTGAATCATTTGAAATCTGAACCTTTTCGTTTTTTTCGAAATCGCATTACCATCTGTATTTGCATACCATTCCTTGAGAAAGTCAATAAACAGGTCTGGTTTGGGACAAGAATATCTGTGTTTGCGACGCATGTAAATTTTTAACAATGTGTTAAAAAAGAGGAAACAATGAGGGATGAGCCTATATAGCCTACACTGAGTAAAAATATAATCGCTAGTCAGTAGTATGACATTTAAAAGAGCGATGATCAATTAATTCTTCATAATTAATATGACACCTGTAGAGGAAAAAGATTGAAATGACGTATAACAAATTAAAATGAAAGAAACAGATAGCGAGAGGGGCGGTCGTAGCCCCCCTCCCCTCCACACTCCGCTTACATTTAAAGTTTTATTTGTGTGCAAGGGCTTAAATCTTTTAATTGATATTGGCCGTCTTCCTTTTTCATTTTAAGTTTTATTTTTTATTTCGTATCTTGAGAGAAAAAAAAGGCAATATTAGAATTATTTGTTCTAATTTTAGCAAAGATCACTTTCTCGTGCCCTGGGCCCCGTAACTCGAAGGCAGCGCGAATAGCGATATCACACAGAGGCTATGTACAATGTATTATATGGGGCGGGTATGGGCGAGTTATGGAATCGAAACGTTTGCGCTCAGTCGCAATGAGCGATGCTTTCGAGTTAGGTCTGCATAGCCGAGGTAAAAAGGGGATCCCCCTTTTTTAAAACTGGGTCAGTTGCAGTGCGGTTTGCGCACGCGTAACTTTATGGTGAACAGGAAACAGAAAAGTATGTCACACATTTTCTCTTTTAATTTTTTATTTAGAAGGGGTTTTTTATTAGTCTGTTGATTTCACGGGTAATCATAGGTGTTCATAATGTCCCTGCCTTGGGTACAGACAGGCGATCTCTGTAAGAAAGCGTTTGGGGCCTCGATAAAAAAGTAGGAGTGTCTACTTACCAGCGGGACAAGTAGGGCCTATATACCTGTACCTAATCATGTAAACGCCGTACGCTGATTATGCAGTGATATATGTAGAGAGAGAACTGTCCAAACAGCTTTGTTAGGTCTGAGACCTGCTATTCATGGTACATGTACCTCCTAGTGCCGTACGTACGAATTTCTCTACACTGGGGGAGGAGGGGGGGATGAGGTCGCACTCTCACCCCTATCACCGCAGGTAGGCCTCGAATCGAATAGATCGATCCAGAGAATTAGATTTAGATCGACCTAACTCCCTGGGGGTTCATGCTAAATTGCAGTCACCTGAGCGCGCACCATAGTTAATTACCCCCTTACAGTAGGCGGGACAGACGCTTAATTAAGCCGGCTAAGCTGACAGTAATCTAGTGAGACTCCCCACAGGGATAGATCGATCTAAAATCTATGGGGATGGGGTCTATCAGTTATGTTTAGAATGAAAGCACCCAAGAAAGTCCGAGACTAGGACCTACAGCATAGTACAGGTCTAATCTGGGATCCTTCAATGCAGGTTAATGGCATTTGCCAGCTAACGGAGGCCTACTAGTGCCGAACGTAGTACAGTGGGTAACGTCAGGCTTTTTGAATAATAGGATTATTATTATTATTATTATTATTATTATTATTATTATTATTATTTGTGACAGAGATGTAGATAAGTGAATTTCACTTGTGACGGTAAAGAAGTAGAAAGTTAAAATTTGAAAGGGTTTAGGCCTACAAGCCATAATTTCTTTAAAGGTTTTGTAGGCTATTGACAAAGGGGAAATGGTTGAAATCCCGCGGGATTTTTGTCATATAAAGATCTTACGCTAATTTAAACACGTATCACAGACTGTTTTAAAATATCTACGTGTTTATTTGTAATAGGTTCCAATCATGGAGAAAACTGATAGGGAGCGAATACGCCGGAACCGCACGGCTTTCATAAAGGATATGATGCCTGACGATGTCATCGAATATCTGTACTCCATGGGAATTTTCACGGATTCTACGAAGGAAGATGTACAGGTTAGGAACAGCTTTTTCTTATTTTAGGTAAAATTGTCCACTAAAAATTTGCAAATTGCTCACACATAGAGAACCAATATTCTGGAAAAAAGAAAACAAAATAGCAAAGGAGGTTCTCTTACCCCCCCCCCCCCCCGGTTTATATGGATGTGACTGACATGGTTGAAAAAAAATGGGAGGGGGGGGGGGGGAGGGCTTCCCAGCTCCCATCCACCAACCGGCTCCAATGCCTTTTATAACTGTGTACATTACCTGTAATGTTTATAGCTTCCGCACTATTTGCACTACTGTTTATCTATGTCCCACCATGAACTGCATATGTTTAAAAAGGATTTAAAGTGCTTTGAATTTTATTTTTCATCGACCTTTGAATTTTGATCTCTACTCGTATTTGTTTTCGACCTTTAACCTTGACTAAGGCCTACCGTACGCGGACGGACAAGGTGCGGAAGATACTTGACACAGTTCCAATGCGAGGAAAACAAGCCATTCATGTCTTTTATGATGCTCTAGTAGAAACAGGTTGGTACTCAAATAATGTGACGTACGTATCAGACCATAAGTGAAGGAATTGTTTTAAAATTCCGACCTTCATTTTGTCAAGATCGTCACTCAAATTGCAAGTATACTGCACAATCTTAAAATAATACTTTTTTATTTCTGGGCTTTTAACGTGCGACTGCATTCCTTGCTTGCAGTCCAATGAGCTATGTGTGGACGTTATTCCTGCCTGTTTGTAATCCACTGTAATTGTTCATTTAATTTTGAATTTACTTTCTTAAGATTTTTGGTACAGCGGCCGTTCGAATCATTTAGAAAGAGATATAAATCTAGAAATAAAAAACCGTTTTAAGAAACAGGCGGTGTCGATGTTATGTAATTAATCTATTTATTTCCTGAATTCAGAAAAGCAATGAAACAGCTCATTATCTAAGTATTAACGTTTCAGAGCAAGGACATTTAGCAGACCTTCTCTTTCCCGAAAGGAAAGAGGAGCGCCTTGCCAAAGAAGCGGCACGCGCGCCCCCTACATCTACTCCGTGTCCTGCAAACACACAACCTGTTAATACCCAACCACGTGTTACTCAACCAGTTCAACCGGAAGAGGAAGACGTGCAGTTACCAGGTAGAGTTCAGTGGTATCCTAGGCCTGTATGTTGGATATGATCGCTGCTGAATTATTCTCTCTCTCCCTCTCTCTCTCTCGTATACTATTGTATTTTGACAAAACAAGTACTTGTTAGTAAATGTCAATTATTATTTTGAAAACTATATATATAACAAATGTGTGATATTTTGGCAGTCAAGAATGTTTTTGAATAACTTTTTGACACTATTTCTTGTGTTTGCACTATAGAGTTGCCATGTGACGCCGGGCAGTCTCTGGTATTTGTTGATTCTTTGAAGTTCGACTTGTCTGACAGTGTACTGCGGTTACAAGAAAAATATTCGCAGGTAATTTTCAGAAGCTCTTATTACCACGTTTATTATGGGCCTTCAGAGTTGTGCGTGTATCATTATTGCTGATACTGTGCCAGTAATTTTGTAATTATCAAAATTAAAGTAGGACAAACTTTTAAAATTTCCACATGAGGCAATTAACTCCGCAAGAGACAAAAATTCCCAACAAACACTTTTATAATTTTCATACTGGAGCGTCGGTTTTTACACATTGAACCTTGCTTCTGAATTGTGTTAAATTTTTAAAAGGTCTGAATCAATTTAAAGCCTTTTACGTACATGTTTAACCGTATTCAACCTCACCATAATAACATTTGTCCATTACACATGATAGGGCATTTTCCTGTTATTACAGGTTTATAAGAATGCCAGCGCAAACAAAGGGAGAGCGTTGATTATCCTTAATATTAAAATGGAAGGCCATGATATACTGAGGACCAATTTAACTCGACTTTTGAAAAAGCTAGGCTATAAAGTTGATCACAAGAAGAATTTAAAAGCAGAGGTAAGTATCTAAAAGGAATCGGTCCTATACAAAGTCAAATTTAGAAAATGGAATTAAAACGCATGGACTTAAATGAAAGTTAAAGCTATATATAAATCCAAACCAAATTGATAAAGTATATTGCCCAAAATAATGTTTTGATAATAATTTTTAAAACTTTGAAAAGAGAATTCTGAGAAGTTTTTAAGTCAGTCAGAACAGAATGTATATTTATGAATTTTGAAATAAGGCAATATTTTAAAAAAGCTATTGAATAAATAATAAATAATTACCTTAAGCAAATGATAGATCACCGGGTTACGCACTCTGTAGAGAACAAGGGCCCATTCCATCGAAACTATATATTGTAGATCTTCGTAGATCAGGCCAGTTCCGCGGGGACTCTCGCTGAATGCAGTCAGTTTAACAGATAAGCACGCCTCTATTTGGCTCTGAGTGGAGTGTAGAATACCGGGAGATTATATGAGTTGAAAACGAGGAGGCGTGTTAATCTGTTAAACTTAATTAGTTTTTAAAATATCAGAGTGGTATTACCTTTTACTACACACTAAAATAACTGACCGATCTTTGAGTTATAATCGATGGGTAACAATCCTTGTTATCGCAATAATTTTCACGAGTAAAAACTTCCATTAGCTTGGCAAGCTTACGATATGAAAAATGCTTTTATGATCAGCTTGTGCTAAATAAATATCAAAGAATCTTCACATTTCAGAAAATTAAGGAAGTCTTACGCAACGAAGCCCAGAATGGGGAACACGGAGACGCGGAGTCCTTCATTTGCATATTCATAGGTTACGGCAAAGGAGGAATATTAACGGGGAAGGACGGCAAAACCATTAGCCTCAGTGAAGTTACATGCTTCTTCAACGGGCAGAACTGTAGTTCTTTGGTGAATAAACCAAAACTGTTTTTCGCGCAGACATGTGGTAAGTTTCAAAGAGTTACCCGAGACCTGGGTCGAAAGTACAGACATTTTGGCCGAAAATGCCCGCCCTGAATCCAAATTTGATGTAATCCGTGGGCATTTCACAAGATGGGGCAACATAGGGGGTAAATGGTCCAGTTTTTCAAAAAATAGTCGTCAGCTTGAAATTACTGGTCACAAGCCTATAGAATGTGACTGCCTATGTGCAGTGTGAAGTAGCGACCGCATTACTAGTCCATTACTGACATAAACCAGAGTACGGTAATGGCTCGATCTTTGCAATAAGCAAAATTATCTAACTTTCAGATTCATAATTTTAGGATGGCAAAAATATATATTTTGTATATAGCATTATTCATTGTGAACGCACTTTTACAGTGGATAATGACACTGACAAAACCGAAGGGGAAACCAGAGAAGTTATGGAACAACTTACAGCCGATCTGCAAGCGGCGACTTTAAGAGATGGTGGAGAGGGGACGGTTGCTACTGCTTCTGTGCCTACCATGGCAGATATATTTGTAGCTGCTTCTACGGAATACAGTGAGTATATCTTAGGCTCTATTCCCATAGATTTTAGATCGATCTATCCCCGCGGGGAGTCTCACTAGATTACTTTCAGATAATCCGACTTAAATATCCGTCCCGCCTACTACAAGCTGTAAGAGGGTAATTAACTTTCGTGTCCGCCCGGCTGACAGCTATTTAGCGTGAACCCCCAGGGAGTTAGGTCGATCTAAAGTAGGTCGATCTAATCTATGGAAATCGGGTGTAAGTTAAGAGACTAACACGCCTCCTCCTATCGTTGAGTAGACTACGGAAAAGCTGGTGATATTTGAGTGTGTTGGATACAAACTGGGGCGTCTTAGTCTGTTCATCTGATTGCATTCAGCGAGATTCCCCGTTGAGTTTGTACACATCAGCTAGGTCGACAAAATTCATTGTGAACGGTTCCTTACATATTGAGAAAAAATTGCACCATCTTGGATTTTAAATATAGTCAGAAATTGTTATTTGTACACAAGCTCACTTCTTAAGAGAATTGGACATTTTAGGCTTATTTTGTTTCTAGATGTGCTTTTTCTACTAATCTGTATGGTAAGACCTTTTCAAAATCACTTCAATATTATGTGAAGATCATTATTTTTTTGTTTGCATTAAAAATAAAAATGAAAATATAGATATTCCATGTATTAACATCTTTCTGGTTGTTTATTATTTGCCAGTCAAAAAAATTACGGAACGTAAGATAAATATAACCAGAAAGTAACCTTGGTACTAGCAGGTCATTTTGTTTGAATTTGTTGCTCAGTCTGGTTTAGAATACTGATTTTTTTTCAGCTTCATCGACAGAAGCGAGTCCCAATTTTTGGTTTTTAGAAGCACTAGTGTATGTTTTCTGTACGTTTGCACACAGCGACAGCCTCAATTCCATGCTAAACAAGGTTAGTGAGGGGTATTATTGTTTCGAGTGTGACTCCCTACCTCGAGACATATAGGTTAGAAACGGAATCACCCGAGTTCAACCGAATGTGCAATTGCAACAACGGGCCTTGATGGTTTATTATTTTTATTTATTCAGCTTCTGAGATCTAGTATAACAGTGCGACTATTTTATGTAGCGATAGTGCAGATTTTTAGTTAGGCCCCGAAAAGCTACGTATATGGAGGAAATATGCTCCGCCAAATGCTGGGCCATAATTCATTTCTTTTGCCTGATATGAATTAATATTTCAGTATGCATGTAGTAAATGGCACTTTTTTTGTAATTTGTCACTTTGAGTTTAATAGTAAGTGCTTTGGGGATAAAAATTGAATTATATTCGATATTTAAAGAAACCTTTATAACCTGTTTCAGATAAACAGCATTCTGTCGAAGAAACGTGCCCAACTGGACTATCAGTCTACTTCTCTGCTAAAGGAATTTTACTTTTTCCCAAAACGTCCTGTCACCTCCGATAGCGACAGTTGCCAACAAAATGACGCTGTTGAGTCCGCCACGGAAGGGAGGTCTTCGCTCGCGCAAGCATCATGTGGAGACGACACAGCGCAGCTGGTGCTGGGATAGAACCTAGTTGGACTACTGTAGCATTAAAAGATTTTGGAAAAGCCAGGTTATTTATGACATCAAATTTGTTTATATCTTAATTTTTTTAGTTTGTGAAAAAAGAAAAGTTGTGCTATGACCTCGTTCTCATTCTGATAATGTCCGACTTCCAGATTCCCGTGTTATTGCGGCCACGATTTGCAATGTGAGAACGAGGTTCGGAATTGTGCAGGCTTTATTAATTTTGTTCAGACACACGGGTTCCGGAAAGGGAAAAATCGAGCAAAAATGATCAAAAATGTAATATTTTTTAGAAACCTAAGAGAGAGATGACGTGGGGCGCATCCGTTTTATGAGTTTAATTTACCTTTCAGTGCCAGAGACAGCAGGGGCTATTTCAGAGCTATTTTTTGACAGTTTTTAAAATTATCTTTGTTGACCGTCTTCAGTCAGAAAAAAAATTGAAAATCTGACCGTCTTCCGGAAGACCCTGAAGACGGTCTCAGTCCGCCCCCGAATGAGACAGACGAATGGTTGGTCCGAGTTTCAAAAAGTGCAATAGATTGTTCTTATTGGAATTATGCCTTTTTGTCCTAACGACTAAAAGTACTTATATATACTATAAAGCAATCTATTTTAATCAAAGCAAAAAGGACATGTATGTGTTCTGCTTTATGTATTCTTGTCAAGTATTTAAGGGTATTTTTTATCTCCAAAAACAGAGATTTTTATGTTTATGGCTTAATGTCAATATAATCATATCAGTTATTGATTATAATCTCCAAACATAATTATAGATTAGGTACATTTACAAAATACAGTTTGTGAAATATACAGTATAAAAGGAAATGAATCAAGAACGTGAAAACTTGCAGTATTACAGCTACAAAGGAAATAAAGACAAACATAATGAAATCAGCCTTCACAATTTATACTTGTTGGAAGAAACAAAAAATCTGTAGGGCTCAATGGTCGAAGTTAGTGCTAAAAATTCTATGTGTACATTGAACACCTTATTCATTACTCCCCGTGTTTGAAGTTAAAGTGAGGCAAATCATTACTGTTTCGTAAGGGAATGTCCCGTTTTCCTCTTGTGTGGATTCTTAAGTTCACCCTCTTAATGTTTTGCCAGATGCCCAACCCGGTTCTTGATTTTGGTCTCGTTATATCTCAGCATCGCGAGATTTAAATACAACGTCCCACCGACGTCGCCATTATGTAAGTTTATTATGCCTTGTACATAAGCCTTCAAAAATTCTGATAAAAATCATCTGTGTATTTTCAAACCTGACATGCCTATTAAAAGTCTAATTTCCAGTTTTCAAATGTTATAATAATCACTTCAAAAATTTAAATGGCAGGCCATTTTATAGTTGAATGCTTCCGTGAATCGACAGTTCAGATATCGAGAAATTTCGAAAATAGAGACAATAGATTTGGCCAAAGGGGGATGCTCTTACACTTGGAGAAAGTGTTATTTCCAAAAACTTTGCTTATTATTTAAAATGATAACACGACAAGGGCTCTGAGTAGATTTATAATACAAGCATACAGGCCAATAAAAAACCAAATGTAAAAAGATTAATCGATAGATCATTTATTTATTTATTTTGTGAACTGTAGGCCCTTTTATAGGTCCAACTGAGGCTGGGTTCTCGACTTAACATATTACTAGGTATAAAAGGAAATTCAAATTTTATTCTATATATTTTATTGTTTTCAGTTATAGAAAACTACAGTATATCAGTATCCAATATACTTTTGAAAACTTTGTACAAAATGCCAATTATTTATGATAGAATGAAAACGTATTGCACAAACGACATGTTCTCTAAAGTTTTAATCCAACATTATCTTTTTCTCAGTGCATTGTATTTTCGTTCCAAAAGTCCAATTAGAAGAAGCACCGAGCATGCGCTGAGTACAGCGGAAACAGTTGTGCTGAGCATGAAGCACTTGCGCCCGAAGCACTTTGTTTCGCCGGTCGTGGCGTCAATATAACCATAATAATCATATAAGGCGCCATATATCCTTTGAAGCACGACAACACCAATGCAACTTCCGGCCTGAAAGAAGCCCCAGTTCCTCCCGAGGTGCTTCAATCCAAAAATCTCAACGGTTATAACGGGCGACAGGCTCCATAACGCCCCATTGGGTATGTTGATTCCGATGACAAGGAAGATCATCATAAGTACACTCTCTGCATAAAAGATGAAGAGTATCAAAATAACAGTTTGTGCCGCGGCTGTTATAAGCACGAAATATTCCCTGGGAAGTTCCTTGACCACTATGTCAGACAAAAGCCCGCTGAAAGCCTTAGCAAAGCAGCCAACTAAGGGGGAAACGACAGTAAAAGCGACGTTAAGCTCTTCATGGCCGAATGACTGCAGGAAGAGTGTATAATTTGAAATGATTGTTGTTTGTACTGATGTGCCAAACGTCACGATGAGCAGCATGTACCAGAAGTCCCAGTCTTTAAATAAAACTAAGATCGTTTGATCGTCCTCGCTTATATGGGGTTTGACTTGTGTCAAACTTGTGCTTTCACTAGGTTCGGAATTTTGAGTCACCAACTCAATGCTGTCGTCTGCTTCACCCCGATCCACTTCTGGTTCCGGTGGAAAGCGTTTCTGGGTCAGCAGACATATTGTGTTCACTACTGCAACCAGTACTGCAATTGTTATGAAATACCCTGCTAGGTCTTGTTTTCCTTCGTCTCCGTTAATGTGCCCATTGACAAAGAGGCCACCATATATACCGGCACACACAGCTTTCCCTGCACTGAGGAAGGCATCCAAGAGACCGATCACCTTGCCATGGTGTCGGCGAGGGAAGTTTCCAACATTAATTGTGAGTATGCTGAAGTACGTGAAACTGCCCCCTAAACCTGTAACACCGAAAACACATTTAATGTGATATGTTATCTTCAAACTTATTGGCCATGGGGAGATTTTCATATCGCCACCATTTCATAACCCTCCATCCTCCCCCCCCCCCCAAACCGGTCGGGTTTCCCCCAAAATATAACCCCCCCCCCCCCGTTTTTAACAATAACGCCCTTAACTCAGATTGACATTTTTGAATATACAAATGCTCTAAGACTGAAATATTGACAGCACCAAGAGCCAGTGAACAAATAATAAAAGTAACACATACTCACCCACGAAGAAGAAATACAAATGTAATAACCAGGCCTCTCTGTTATAGAAACTCACGAGAGGAGCCGCAGACCACAGCACCACGTATGCACCCGACTGTAAGATGATTGCAATAAACAGCGTAAGTTTCCCGCCATATTTGTCGGTCAGATACCCTGGGAGGACACCAAACGCAATACCCATGTTTCCCAAGGAGGCTATGTTTTCAACTAAAATGAGGAAAGGCATGAACGGTGTTAGAGAGCATTCACAACGAGAAGAGCCGAGGTCTAGCAAGGCCGAGACCTAAATATGGCGGACCTACATAAAAGGAAGACCGCATAATCCTTTAATGGTATCTCAATAAATGTCATTTAAAGTCTAATGCAGTTCCAGATAAATCTACGCTATTCAAAATTTGACCAATTGTATTAACAGGTTACTGGGAAAACAATTAGTTTCAAAGCTTTTACGTTCACATGACAATATTACTCTGAAATACATAAAATTAGGATAATGGTCGATATATGTGTGCATGTGTGTGTATTTCAGATAACCGTACATGGAAAAGGCTGGTTTTCCGGTTTGTCAATATTACGATATGTGTTATTTTACGTAGAAAAAAGACTGATGAATATAATGGTGATTTGGATTAATACTGTACCAGCACAAGACAAGGATAACGTTTATATTGTAAAAATGGCATTAGAGTAAACGGTTAGGGATTTCTTGTTGGTTTTCTTTGTGTGCCTTTAACAAAGCCTAAAAGGAAAAAAAACAAGGACGCTTCATTAAATTCACTTGTAGTCCAGCAGAAGCGTGATACTTACCCGTAGATTGTGAGAAGGAATATCTCTGTTTCAGCGCCAGTTGAAACGAGCTAAAAGCGAAGATCGTCCCGGCGAAAGCGATCCCAAGACACCCCGCGACGAGGACAAGGACCCGCTGTACGGAAGTACGCCTGAAAAACTCCCCAAGTCTTTCCAAGATAGCTAAAAATGTTCTCGGCATTTTGGAGAGCTTTGATTTTCTGCTTCGACGTTAGTTATGGTGAACTACAGTTCTGTCCTTTGATACATCAGTTCGGATACGATGTCCATGCAACTGCAAGTTGGAGATCTGAATTAAAAATAATAAAGCGATCAGTATGATGGAGTGAGTGCCCAGTCATCTTCCGTTTAACACGCTGCCATCAAGACGAATATGAATAAAAGTTTTGTATATTAAACAATATAGAATCGAACAGCAAAGTATGATAAAATAATTAAGATTAAATATAATAAAATGAAATAAAGGAAATGAAATTGTATGATAATAAAACAAGGTAAAAAAAAAACACCAGTCCCCTACTAATAAATCTCAAGCGAACCAGACTTAATTGACATTGACCTAGGAAAAAAGCCATTTTGAACGTCTTGTCGAAATTTACTTTTGCCACCACAGTAGTTAAGTCTAGATTGATACCCCTACTTCCAGCTTTACAGCTTAAAAGGTCGTTCACTGCCTACAAGTCCAGAGCACTGATGCTACCACTTTTCTGCCCACGATGAAATGTCTGCTAACGGCAACACGATAGTTGTTTTTCGAGCACTGGAACTCTCACTTTGGGTATTCGTTACACATCATGTCTTTTTAAGTCAGTGTTGGCGCTACAGTTGTAACACATCAGGCTATATAAAGATTCAACCAACTTAGGTGCGTTTCATCAGGAATCTAAGAGATCGCTAATCGATGCCTGTTCTTTTAGCAAATCAGTGGTTGTCCTCATGACGAAGATTTTTACCCAGTGACGGCAGTACCCCATTTGGGTGTGTCAAATATTGATCCCGGACCAATCTTTCCTAAAAGCTGTCTGACCAGCATCGTAAAGTCGACTTTGCGTAGTTGGCTATTTGTGAAGTTGGCTAACGATGGCAGGATTTAACAAATGGCTGACCTGTGCCCACTCATATATATATAGCATATAATTATGTCGGCCATCCTGATAAACGATACAATTTAGGATACATTATTCATATTGAGCCGTAGCCATTAATTTTTATGTCCGATGTTTCATATTGGAATGAAGGCCTATTGCAAGTAGGCCTACATGCATAGCTAAACCAATGAACTATATAATTTATTTCAACGTGAGGAGAGAGTAAAAAAAATTCACAATTGTAAATGTAGAAAAATAGGCAATCAAGTAAACAGATCTGATATTACCACCGTACACTCACGTTATATAGTGTCTCTAAGAGCTTAAGAGGAACATAAAAAACGTAACATCAGAAAAATATTCCATACCACATTTAAGGTGTGGTACACGTCACGCGAGGCTTATGCTGTTCCAGAAAAAAAAAAAAAAAAAAAAGGTGAAATTACCCGTAAAAAATCTCTATTATCTCCCTTGCCCCTCATCAGTGCATGAACTGCGTATCTCGCTGCCTGCAACCCAGTCCAAATAAACTAAGCGGGAGTGACGCGCGTGCAGCTATCTGCAACTATTGTAAACTCGTATTCACTGCGACCAGAATCAGACCGAGAAATTACTGAGCTGGGCTCTTATGCTTCGAAATAGTTTAAATGAAATTTTAGGACAGTATTATACAACAGTCTTTTGGTCGGATAAAGGTCATTCACCAACCTATATGTCATTGGAAGTGACACGAACTTCGTTTCGAAGACAGTGCAATTTTTACTCCATGAAATAAGGGCCTACTGCTAGAAACAGATAGACTTTTTACTGTGACTATTTTTTAAAATTAAAATGTAAATGAACAGTTCTTTTACAAACAACTGGAATGTCGCTGTCTCTTAGAGGAGTTGTGTGTGTGTGTGTGTGTGTGTGTGTGAGAGAGAGAGAGAGAGAGAGAGAGAAAGAGAGTGAGTTTCTATAAATTGTCCAAAAATATTTCATGGTTATTAGGACCTTATATTTACTTCATAATTTTGCTCTCCCCTCCCCCCCTCTCCACCAGCAAACTTTAATCATCTTCACTTATACGATTCTGCTCCAATCGCTTCACTTTTTTTAGAATTCATTTAACCTTTTTTTTTAATTTTTACGTTATTCTGCGTGCCGACAGTTGGGAAACAGCCATAACAACGAAAAATTAATAAGGGGTTGTACACTGTAGGAGAAAAGGCGAACAGCAAGACACGCAAAAACGGGGTTGGAGGGGGGGGATGCATTACGACCCCGGCCGGTCAGTCGGAGATAGCAGTGCATCACCATATTACAAAAACTGTCATGTTTAACAGTAGCAACTTTTTTGTGCTTCAGTGGGGTGCCGCAGTTATCAGGTATGCAACGCGTGCAGGTCGCTACGAGTCAACGAGCCCATTATAAAATACAAGTGTCACGAACGCTATGCACGACTGGGTGATACATACAACTCCAGTCTCTTTGTAAAATAAATAATTCTATATTACATTTAAGCATCAGGTATATGTAGACATGTATACTACAGTCACAGTGCATATGGCTATGTGATGGGTAACTTCAATTTAACTCAAGTCTCTTGGTAGAATGAATCCTATATTGAAGCCATGACCCAAGATAGATTGAAGTGACACACCAGTTAGTCATACAGAGGAATTTATGTATCTCCTTGGCCATACTGCAACTGTGAGTCGTGAGAGATGGAATTAAGGTACACATCCGACGTACATGACCTACATGCATGCTGGTTATAACAAGACTGGGCATTGTTTTACCCTCTACCAGGCCTCATATTAATGTACGCTTTTCACAAACACAGTGATGTTTGTCATACATTAGCCAGCGACATATTGCTGAATATTTAGTGAAAAAATCTGTGACCCCGGAAGAGGGTTACCCAGATTGACTTTTCACAGGATATTCACAGGATAAGTTTTTAGATAAATAGACGGTCATTTTACTATCTCTGACTTTGACTACCTGACTATCTATGGCGTTTTCACTTTTCCCTATAATAGGGGCCTATATATCTGCCACCCTGGAAGAGGGAAGAAGAGGGTAGGGTATTTTGTTCTCAAGGGATGAACTGTGCACCTGAACTGTGCACGTGACTATAAGCTGTTATATAAATATTAGCTACAATACTCACGAGCATGCGACGATCTGATATCTCTTCTGTTCACACTACTCTCCCCTCGTGTTGCACCGCTGGCTAATCTAGTGTACCAGGAAAGTGGGCGCATCCGTTACTGAGCAGTTAAGATCCTGTCACAGTCACTACCAAAGCCAATGTCTCCGATTCCAACACTACTTATTTGCTTGTCAGTTACTCATAAGCAAGTTGAAAGTCACAAGTACACTTGGCACAATCCTTATGTCACCTGCTAGGCAAAAGTAATGCTTTAGGTGCCCTATATGGAAGCGTTCTTGTATCGTCAGCGTGTTGTCTATTGTCAGTGCCCAAGCTTCGTTCATGCAGTATTTAATTTAACCCAGTGCTACCTAAAAGTCCCTGGTAGAGACGAGGTAGATATATTTGTAACCCCTTGTTGACGGCTTTCACAACGCACATAATAGCCTCATTTGAATATCGTCTCATTCCACTTATCTCGCTGTGAGTTAGACTGCGCTTGGGTGCTGGTGCGCATAGTAGCTTCCGTTTACGGCCTTTCATGCTTTCATCAATTAATAAATGCATGTATCTATCAAAAATTTAGACAATTAAGATACAATCTAGAGATAATTGCATGCCCCCCCTTCCCCGCGTAGGCCTACAGGTGTATAGACAGACAAAAATACGCGGAGACCGTTTTCACATCGTGCCTTGGTAAGGGCATGCTTAATTATAAGTTGATTGGTTTATTTATTTTTTCCTTAATATTTTAACTGTGTTGGACTTCATCATATTTCTGAATTAAATTTTAAACATATGACAGGGAGTCTAAGGCGACTGTATATGTGATGCATAGATAGGGGAGACCGGGCTAGTTGGACCCCAGGGTAAGTTGGCCCCCATCAAGTCTCTTTAATAATTTTACTTTAATATGCTAAATTATTTCATTTGGACAGTTGGACTCACTGCCGACGCTTTCTTAGCACTGTTGGATACAGTCACTTTACAAAATGATGTGGTCAATTCGTTTACCCCATAGTTACTTTGTCATAAATTGATGGTTCGCCAACTTACCCCGGGGTTCAACTAGCTCCGGTCTCCCCTACTGCGTTTGATAGATCGTGAGTGATATATATATATATATATATATCACTTGAGCGACGTGTTTACAGAAAGTGCAAGTGCAAGAAAATTGTAATCATTTGATACGAAAGTATAATACTGTATAATACTGCCATTTGACACGAAAGAACACACACCCTCAAATACTGTAGTTTTATATGTCACATCGATAAGCGAATTAATTTATGGCGCTGGAAAGTGTCGTTTGTTTTTCATTTGCAAGGCATATGATATATATATATACATTTAGCACTGGCTTTGGTAAAGCGCGTCGTTAAAACTCATCCTATTTTTGAACCCTTATCTAGTCGAAATTTGCCTAGATTTGCAAATTAAGACAGCGTCGATTAGGATATCAGCTGCAATTTAGATCTTTCAAAATGATTGTACATGTGCTAGCTCTCTTGCTCTATATCTCATCTCACACATCTGGCCAAAGCCCCGCATTTAAAACGCATTTGTGAGACATATTTCAGGTACAATTGTTTCAGGCGCAATATATCTCCGTACCTGAATGCACATATGCATATAACGACCATATGATACAAATGTGCTATCAGGGTATTATCCGCGATGAAAGGGCTTAGAGTGACTCAGGTTAAATGTACTATAAAATGGCTAACGTTTTAACACTGGATAAAGAAGGCACCTACAGGCACACACATGTCACCCCCTGAATCAGAGTAATCAAAGTTATAATGCCTGGTCTACTTATAATGTGACTAATGAGTATAAAACCGCTGTACCATGGAATTGTATTGTTGGTCTTTTTGTGAAATCTGATGTTAATAAAATGATACCAGGAGCATATCATTCCACAGTCATTTATCTCCCCTAAAGTATTGGTGGTTCAGTAGGGGTGACACTTCTATTGTCCAGTGTGTGTAGATGTAGTAGAGGCGATTTTTTATTTCCAAATCTGATTTACCCAACTTGGCTGTGTTGTTTAGTCATGAGGATATTTTCACCCTTGTTCAGGCCTCTATCATCATTGTCGCCCTTATCACTCTGCGTTATCAAGCGAATGACGTAATCATTTATCGTCTGCCTCTTGTCCCAACGCACGCGCAGATGGGATTTGTTACTCTGTAGCTGAAGTTGTTCCTATATAATTATCTTTCATGGTGTCAGTGAAATGCACCGCTATGGACCGAGTCGTCGTCGTTCTCAGAATATTTGCTCTCTTTGTAGGCTGTCTTGGAATGGGGTTTGCAGGCTCCATCTACGCTTTCAACGCCTACCAATTGGCTGTAAAGCAGACCTTTGATTTGCAACAATCGCAAGGTAAATATTTCAAAAAAAATATTAACACTAATTTGTAAAATATGCATAGCAGTACGCACCCCTCTTAATGTTCCACGACAGCAAATTAAATTTCTTGTCGGTTTTTCGCGTTTAAATTTATTTCATACAAAAATGTGATATTTTATGTAATTGAGGTAGCCCACAGTGACTTGTCTCTTTTCTTTTAGGCTCAGAGTCAGAAATTGGCCTTAGGCGAAAGGTGGAGGCAACTATATGACTTAAATAGTTTGGCCAACATCAGTCAATAAAACCTGTGTTAGTTCATTAACACGAAAGTGCCCATTGGTTTGACACAATAGATATTTCTTACGATTTGCCGTATAGTTGCAATATCATTCTCTAAGTGGACTTACACTGATATGTTTTTTAGTCAACGGAATCAAATGCCACAAAGTTAAAACAAACAGCGATTTTTTTTCTTTCCGAAGATGTATCAGATCTGTAAGAATATATTATGAATACCTACAATTCAGGGACAACATTTCCCATTTGAGTTGACAGTTTAGGCACTTATTTACCATCCTTCAACCAATCTTTGGTCTCATTCCCACAGACACCATCGGTCTACGTAAATCGATTCAACTCCGCGGTCCTTCTCGCCGAGTGCAATCAGATCAAATGACTGACACCCCTCCTCCTGGGGTTGAGTGAAACACAGAGAAACCGGTGATAATACGAGTATGTTGGAAACAATGGGAGGAGTGTCAAGTAGTTAGGCTGATTACACTCGGCGAGAGAGCCCACAGAGTTGGATCGGACATGGGGTAGTTTGGTAGTCGCTAGTGATGACATGATAGGCGATATAGTTGTTGATACAGCGTTGGTTAATAATTGTTAAAGATAATTATCTTTAACAATTATTAACCAACGCTGTATCAACATAATTCTCAATATTTATCATCAGTCCTCGTTGTACTGAGAGGTACACAGTACATGGACGAAGGGTTTGCCCCCCCCCCCCTTCTCCATTCGCTTATAGATATCTCAGTATCGCTTATCATAATTTAACAGTATCTAAAACAGTATTTAAAACAGTATCTAAAAACTAGGGTATCGTCTGCCTAGTCAGATGTGCGAAAAATGGGTATAGTTGCCACGGGTATTTTAGACGGAGAAAAAGGAAAGGCAGGGGTACCAGCAAACTGCTTTGAATCCGTTGATTCGATTGTTTGCATTACAAACGATGGGAACCATCTGCAATGACATAAATAAAACGAGTTTGTGAGCAAAAGCGTTCAAGAATCATCAGCTTCCCGAGATTTACTGAGTAGTAGAAACTTTCCCCCATTACCAGAATACTGGAAACACCGTTATGTAGATCGTGAAGTTTACATGACTCGGGCCCGTAGTCAGCAATTCCCGAAGGGAGGGGGTCTTTTTCTAAAATAGTGGACCTTTGACTACGAAAACTTCGTGTGCCTAGATCAAAATTTACCCAGAGCGGCTGTTCCTTCGAACCCCCCGAATCCCCTTGGCTACGGGCCTGTCAGGTACTACTCCACACTGGCTTCTAGTATCTCTGAAACTAAGATGTTGCTTATCTTATCTGTGACCTAATACCTAGCGCTGCTGAGTATTGATAGATATACCTCCTCCACTGAACAATATATGCCGATGGCGTGGTCGGTTAATCATTGATTTGAAGAATGAGATATATCTCCCATAAACCTCTATGATTCACACCATGTAACAGGTGTACTGGGTATAACACAGTTTCTCAAAAACAATCTTTTTTTACTAGAGAGCAGGTTATCAGTTTGTTGCCAAACGCCAGGTTTCTTTCGGAGGTTTCCCTGGATACCCTATGTTTATAAAAATAATGTTTATTTTACAACCAAAAGTGGAATGGTACATTTATAATACAAAAAGTATTATTCTGAAACAAACATTAGCCTAAATATTTTTTAAACATTTTCTAAAACACATTACATTAGCATTAAATTTTTTGGATGAATTGGTAAAAAAAATTTTGCTTAATAGTTGACAATGTTCAGGGACTAAAAGTCTTTGAGGCTTTCACTGTTCTCAGTTTTTGACACTTTAAATATCTGGGCACTTCGTGGCTTAGAAAGCTGTTCACACTGTGCTTGTAAAAGGTAGTGGAGGATGATGGATGAACATTTAATGTGGATATATGTCAATAAATAAAGAACTTCTAAATGATAAAGAAGTGAAAAGGCAAAATAAATAAATAATTGAACAAATAAGTAATTGAAGAAGAAATAGAAGGCAGAAAAACACCTTTAAGTAGTGCAAGAAGCTAGATTTTGCTCTGATGGCGACAACCATACTTATAATAAGGTGAATGCTTTAGAAGTTTTGAAACGATACGGGATTTCACTCACTTCTTTTATTGCAGTGGACTTGGTGGCGTCCATGGGTAACATAGGGATATCAGTCGGATTTCCGGCTGGTTACTGTGCGGAGCGATTTGGCGGACGTGTGGCCTCGTTCGTAGCTCTTATTCTCACAGTTGGGTCCTTCACCTTGATATGGTCGACCACTCATATGGTTGCATTCTATGTCCATTCTTATTGGCTACTTTATATTTACTTTCTTTTAGCTGGTAAGTCTTTCAGGGGAATTTAAGTTATTGGAGTATACAATAACTATCGATGCAGTCCGTTGGCAATTTTCGTATTTGTGCGTTAGGATTTCCCTCTAAAATTTGATTCAATCTTTTTTTTATCAATTTTTGCAATGTTTTTTCAATGGAACTTTGTTTGTTGTAGAGTCTGAAGTAACAGTGCCAATGTAAATTAAATGTGTGAATTACAATGAATTACAATTACAATGATACATTATTTGTTTTACTTTTGTGGACGTAATGGCCGCTCTCTCAAGACGCCATAAACACTTACATGATTTTGAACTTATTTTCAACAGGATTTGGCGCAATATTCTCATACATGGCCGCTATGATTACGAACATCAACAATTTCTCGAAAAAGCACCGAGGAACCGTCATAGGGATTCTAGACGCCTCATTTAGTGGTGGACCTGCTGCCGTTTCTGCGATTTACGGAGCTTTCTTCATGAACGGGCACACACACGGCGACGAAGACAAACAAGATTTACCGGGTTTTTTTCTTTTCTCAGCCATAGGATTTGGCGTGGCTAGCATTTTGGGCGTCCTGACACTAGGGAATTTTCCACCGGAAACGGAAATTGGGGGAGAGGATCACATGCGTAGTGGATTTAAAGATGGAGGAGGAAAGGAAGATGATCGTTGTGGACTTATAGATGGAGAAGGAAAAGGAGATGATAAAAGTTTGAGTTGGCAACTGAAGCGACCAGAAACTGCAGATGATGAACCGGAATCGAAACTGAGCCTGAAAGCGGAAGCGAAAAGTACCGAGCCAGAAACGGTAGACAAGACGGGACTTGCACTTCTACGGGATTGGGATTTTCATTATTTATTCTGGAATTTCATATTTTGTGCCGGCCTGCAGCTTATGGTGCAGGCGAACCTTACCAGTTATTTACAGTCGTTCCATTTTGAAAAATTCAGCACTATCATCACAACCCTTAGTTTTGCCATTGGGACCGTCTCAAAATTCATCATCGGTTTTGTTACTGATTTACTAGTTAATCGGGTCCCGCGTGTCTTATTTCTTTTAATAGCAAATATAATGCAGACAGGAATCTTAATAATTAGCATATTTTACGCAGATCAATTTTATTGGCTAGTAATTATGACACTGGGAGTTGGCCTGGCCAATGGCACTTTGTACTGCCTCACCCCGACAATTCTCAGTGAACTATTTGGGGTGAAATATTTCGGTCTCAACTGGGGCTGTATACTTATGGGCAATGGATTTGGCGGTCTGGGAGCGCAGTATTTATTTGGGGCAATTTACGACTATTACGGCTACCGCACGGCGGACGGAGAAACAGAGTGTTACGGTCTGCATTGTTTTCAGTTGAGTTTTGTATTGGTGGCGGTGCTCAGTGGCTGTGCGTCGCTTTTTAACGCCGCTCTGTTAGAAAGATCGTGCAGGCGCCGATCGCATCGACATCTTGCAGTTACTAAATCCAACAGTGAGAATATTTCGGCTGAGGGACATGGACAGATCCAATATACACCAAAAACCACATGATAACAAGCGCCAGACCAAATAGAATCTACGGCTGAAATTGGGCGATTGGAAGGGGCTTTTTGTTTTTGAACGCTTTGATTTTTTGTCTGTTGGATTCTGGTCGGTTTTGAACCTTTTTTGATTTCTTGCTGGTAGCATCTGACTTGGGCCAAAAAAGCAACGTCTGCTCAAAAGGTTGTCATATTATTATCAGACCACTCAGGCCACTCGTATACACCATATATATTCTGTTTTGCACAAGGATCCCAAAACTTTCGAATTTCTCGTCCTTATTTGAATTAGCGCAAAACCCCTTTTCTTTAACTAGTCGTATTACCTTACCCAATTAGCAGTACATCATTATTTGAACATTTTCAGAAAAAAACTTGCATTCACAAAATTTTACATTTAAAAGTAAAGTTTGGTTCCTGTGTACAGCACTCCACTGCGTCACAGCGCACTTAACAATACCGACAATAGGTGGCACCACTGTATTCGGTCCATCTAACTTTGGTATACATGCTCTGGGTGTTGACGTAATTTCCCCGTGAGAGAGGTAGAGCCTAACTGCTGTACGAGGCACCAAAAGCTAGCATACGAACAATATATTCCACTACATATCTTTATTGTCATGATGTAAGCTGTAATAAGATTAATTATCAAGCGCCATACAGTGTAGGAATATCCTTTCAAATATTTTGTTTGTTCCTGTACAGACGAAAATAAAAATATGGATAGACGTATAATTACACTGCAATATATATTTATATGGGCGTAAAGCTCACAAATAATACCAGTACAAACAGGTGGAATATGAGGTTGGATTCACTTGCCGTCTTCATTTTCTCAAGTCACAACAAAACATGTCTCTCTTGTAACTTGTGTCGCCACCGCGATCGTGTTGCTAGACTGTAGGCATGTTTGTGGCGGTCTGCAGGCATTTAACCATCTAAGAACAATGACTATGAGTGACGGCAAATCGTACACATAAGTCTTTTCCAGTACTTATAATTTCATTTTAAATGCGAGATGTTGCAATGCTAACTTCAGTTTCGGTGCCTTTTTCATAAACGCTGGTGTTGGAGGCATGTGAATGGTTATGATTTGTATTCAAAGTAACGCCATCAGTCGATTGACTCAAACGACTTTCGCAGTCTTCACCTCTGCGTCTCTGACGTTGACTCAGACGTCGGCAATATAGCTTCTTCAGATCTCTGATAACAAGCCTTGTGCAGACAGTTGACAAGAAGACGAAGAAGCCGTCCGATGCCGCCAATACCGCGAAAAAGTATTCGGCTATTGCGTTTTGGGTTCCTCCAGCAATAAGACCTAGCGCCCAAGTGGAGCCGGTCAAAGCTAACAGCTTCACATACATACAGAAGTTGTGGCCCGAGGAATTCTTATTCAGTTTTTTAGATGAATCTTTAATGGCACTGTATATCGATATCGAGCACAAGACATATAGGATGACATTGACTACAATGATAACAGCCAGAGGGGCAACAAAAAACAGGATTAAAGGGTATTTTTGTGTGAACCAGCACGGGCCCAATCCAAAACCAGGACGGAAAGTGTTGTCTAAGCCAAGGTCGGCAAAATCAAAGACCACGCTCGAGACTACAATGAGAGTAGGCATTCCAAGGGCGTAAATTCCGTATATAGCAGCCCTGAAACCATTATGACTTCGACCATTTATGGATGTTAAGGATTGGCCATGGAAACGCCTCCACATATCGATAGCGATGACATTCATCCAGAAAAATGAGGTCAAGGTCGACCAGTGAAGCAGGAGGGCAATTGGGACGCACGCTTCATAAATACCCACTAAGGGCGGACCTAGGAGGAACGAGAGTTTGGACAAGAACATCGCCAGGCTGAGACAAAACTGAAGTTTTCCTGGAAAAGTTTGGAATGTTTTCACAACTCCTTGCAAGCAAATTCTACCAAGGAGACTCGCCATGGATACACATAAACAAACGATGGTAAGAATCCCCTTTGCTGTAGTAAACCGACCTCTGGATGACGTCCCATTTACATGGTGGCGCGTCCCTTGGTTGTATTTTAAAAGCTTTCCAGCACAGAATAGCAAGCTGCTGTTTTCTACAACAAATTCGTCTGGCTGTAAGACCAAGCCGTTTGATAAAAGTGCAGAACCGTTCTGCCAAAGAGCAAAATCAGAGTTATCTAGTGAAAGTTTTGGACACATTTCATCCTGACTCAAATAATTTTGTGCTTTGTTTCCGGCGTCGGTGTAAATTTCAGTGCAATTAATACTGACGTTTTCAAGAGATGTGTTTTCAAAGAGATTAGCATCCTCGGAGCTAGCTGCCAGATAAATGTTCATAAGCACGCTACCATTGGTTTGAATTTGATTGCAAAATTTGTCTTTTCCAGTATCCGGTGTCATCACGTGGAATGAACATGATATCGAGAACGGCATGTCTTCGAATGCCCTTTTTCCAATGTCGTCATCTCCATAGACCCAAGACACGTTGCCATAGACATCAATTATAGTTTCAATCACCTTTTGCAGTCGACTTCCTATTTTCTCTAACATTTCGCTAACTTCCATATCGAAGGTAGAAGATGGGGGTCTCGTGATTATTCCAAGGAATATCACGTTGATCCGAATCAGACGTGCCTTTGGCACACAATCCCTGTCTCGTAGCTCGTACTCCCTGGGGCACTGCAAGGCCAGACAGCGTTCATCGCCTTTTGCGGTCAAGGTCACGGCGGTATGGACGTCACAGGAAAACGTCCCCTTGTCCTCGCGCGTCTGGGTTTTAAGATCGACTTCAACGACCCCTACATGAAGTCCACCCTTGGGACTGAAATCCATTAAGATTGTATAGGAAAAACTTGGAATAATGCTCGCCTCAGCAAATGCAGATAGCTCGTCCTTTGATTTAGGCCATTCACGGATGTATTCATATTGCGCCCCATTGCACATAGCGCAATACGGGTTGTTGTATATGTATTCACCGGGGGTCAGGGAAAGTTGTGTGTCCTTCACGAGTCTCGTGTACTTCCGACAGTTTTCGACAAGGTCCGGGTTTGAGGAGCACGCTGACGAACACGTTCCCTTGGCTTGGTCATAGCACGGACGCTCAGGGTAAGGCGGCGGGGAACGGACGCTGAGATGGCAGAGGGACAGTAAGTCGTCTGCAAAATTATGTCTTGAAAGATTGGCCCTGATATCCGTGCGGTTTGTGCACTCGAAAGAGGTAGTCCAGAACGTCACGTTATTTGCACGGTTACACACGGCACAGAAAACATTCTTGAAGTGCAACCCGGTGCGGTTGTCGTAAACGGGGATCCTGTAAGTTAGATCTGTGCTGTTCTCGCTGGGAGATAAGCAAGCCTCTATTACTGGCCCCTCTTGGTAGTCCTCTGCACATTTCTCGCCAAACAGCAGTCTACGGTCCACGCACATAGGGTCCCCCACATCAAACGACGGTTGCAACAGTTCAGAGCAGTGACGGTCGAAATCTATACAGCAGTCCCCATACATATGACAAAGGTCGTCGCAGGAGCACAGGTGTTCATTCGCCTTTGCGCCGAACTTGGCTACATCAGTGCAACGGTTTTTGCAAGACCACTTAGGCTCTGGCTGGCCACTGAGGGAAGGAATCGATCCTGGCTGACAGTAATATTCAGTTGTGCCGTTTACATTAACGCTCGATAACGGAGTGGTTCCTGTACCTTTGGTGCTATACGGGTCGCTGGGCAACGGGTCAAAAGAGCCATTTGGAACACGGCTTCCCCCAACATGCATATCAGGTCCCGAATGTTGACTTTCTGATTGGTTTAATGGAGAAGTGATTGCGATTGCACCAGACCGGACCGCTGTTGACACGGGACTGGGACCTCTTGGAAGGCTCTCTGGTGAAGGTGTTGTCTCGTTTAAAGCTGATGGTGGATGGGATGAGTTCAGGGTGTCGTCATCATCTAAGTCCTGCACGTTGTGGTTGGGTGTCATTTCATTTAGGGGTCCTTCGGGCAACTGTTCTGTTTCAGAGACAATGTTGGAATTGATAAAAACCTTATGGTATTTATAATTTTTCGTCGAAATTGAAATAAACCAAAAGCATTGGTTTGATAAAATATATAACGATTACCGTTTTAAACACAGTTTATAAGCTAGAGTATTGAATGATTTTATAACGATCTAAAGAAAATTGTCTAGTAAAAGGAACTATGTAGATGGTGATCTTTTTAAATTTGAAGATATTTAAATAATACACTTTACAGATGCACATAATACACTTTACAGATGCACACTTAGTCAACACGCACGCATAGAAATGTACGCTTTGAACATGTATCTTCTAAATTTTGACAATTTTTACAAATAAGCGTTCCTCTGAACTATGGCTGCTGCCAGATAATCTAAGCAAAAATTACAACATCAACTCAATGTGAAGGTGATAACAATTACTAAATTAGTAATATCTACGTACCTGAAGTAATGGCACTAAACCCATCAACAGTGCTGACAAAGACAAGAATGGTGCCAAAAACAACCCATGCCTCCATAGTGTATAAGTCTGAAAAGTTCTTTATTTAAAAGTCATTCAAAATATAATTTCTCTTGTTAAATTTGATTCTTGTTCAAATGTTACCTTACATAAAAGACAAAATCGCCTATAACATATCTAAAGTGTCGATATTTATCTGTCGTGAATGAAACACTTTTTTTGCATTTACTGTCCAGAAAACGTACTGTCTATCTCATCTATTCCAAGTTGGTACAAAGTGATTGCCATTTTATAGCAACGTTAGTTATTTCTTAGAGCAACTGATAAACATGAACATCTACAATGGGTAGGAACTCACCTTTAAACTCTCCTAAATTACACTTTACAGTCCGTTGTTAATGTTTCACACGAAAAAAGACGCTCCGATGTGTTTTTAATTCTGCCACTAGCTCTAGTGTGGTCGCTGAAACTACTTCCCAAAGCACTGTCGTGCTGGTCTTTTATATAATAACGATTTAATTATCTATCCCCGTGTCCGGTAAAACCGTATTATTGATAATAAAGCACTGCTAATTGACGAAGCTAATTGCATCAGGCTTTTAGGAATCTGGTTTCTGTGGGTGAGACTTCCTCCGGTGATGGGTAATAACAGAGCCTAGTTCATTAAAAACGTTGTGAATCAATCAAAATACATTTGACGGATTGACCAAGATACATGAACAAATAAAAAATGAAGTTAATTGGGTAGATTACATGCAAATTTACAACCTCAGGGAATAAGTGGACCGTTGCATTTCACTTGTTTGGGGACATACATGTACAATGACACGGTTATTCATCAGAAACAGTCTGCACATTAATACTCTATCAACGTGATCCCCTCAATCAATTTAAGTTAGGAGATACGTGTATTACGTACCAGACTAGTCTATAAGACATTAAGTACATTCTCTGAATGCATTCCCTGTTACGCTGGAAGCACATTTTTTCCTGCGTATGCCTGTTGGCATTTTTCTCTTATGAATCGTAATGGACAGATTATAAATCCACTTTCGCTTATATGTAGTAGCAAAGCGCCTGAACATCTGACGACAAAATTTAGGTGGGCTTAACCATTTCGATCAATTTATCAACCTTCGTTTAACGGATTTTGCATTACAGTAAGGAATGTATTAATGAACATAACTGGTATTTTTGGATGTTTCGTGGGCGCCTTAATTCAAACGTTTGCAATTGAATGTCTGTTTTCTGGAATAATCCTTCTGCTCTGTGTTGACGTCACTTCTTGCAGACGGGGATCACATGACGGATAGTTAGAGCTCGAGATTATTTAGTTTCACTTCTGAGAGTTGAAACTATACGGAGTTTTGTTGAAGTTGTTGTGATAGCTCCCTTTATATAATTTATTATTATTATTATTATTATTATTATTATTATTATTATTATTATTATTATTATAGTTGTTGTTAATCGTGACTTGCATGAATATACGCTCAAAATAATGCCTAATGAATAATTTATTTGAAACACCCGCGTTTCTACAGTAGCAAGTAAATATAGCTTAAATTGTTATATTCTTTCTTTTATCGATCACACGGACAAGGTTATTTGATCCTTATTTCTGTCAAAGATTAATCTCTGTAAGAAAATGCCAATTATGTTGTGTAGAACATACTTAAGCGCTTTTGTTTATCGGGTACCTTCATAACCCACTCAATGTTTTAATCTTATCTAAGAAGTTAAACACACGTTCAACTATACTTAATATCTGATGAATCCTGTTCAGAATTATTATTAATTTCTTTTGTCAGTACGTGAAATTTCTATTGTAATGGCACACTTGGTTGCATGGACGTCTTACACGGTCAGATATGCTTTTGGCAACCATCGTGGAAAATGGCCATAATATATATTTGCTCCGTTTTCAAAACCACTTGTATATGACAGCAGCTCGTCCAAAGACCGTGTCCATCGCCCCCAAACTGCACAAGCATAAACTGCACAATTTGACTAATGTATCTCTGAACTTGATAGAAAAAACTGAAATTTCCCCAATTTCTTCAACAATTGAGGCCCTCTCCGGTTTGCCTCTATCCATCTACAGGTCTTAAAACGATTCAGTACAGAATGCAAGAAAGTGCAACATTTATTGAATTTTCATAAGACAGAAACATGCAGAAAATCAAGGTATTCAGTTGGACATTGAACTACAGATTAGTGTTGACTTAGGACGACGCTGTCCTGTTCTGAATCTCGTAGAGTTGCCTTATTTTGAAAGCCTGCTACCAACAGCTCTTCCCTAGGGTCCAGTAGAATTTCCATAACATATAGATTACACAACAAGCAGCAGCTTGACACTTAACTAATGCCAACTCACTAAACCAGTTTTTAAGCAGAATTGATAGTTCAGAATATTCGACATCGAATCATTAATCTACTTTGTATGTGTGTGTGTGTGTGTGTGTGTGTGTGTATTAATCAAGCGGTGTTAAAACATTCTTTCTATCTGGTTAACTTACAGTGTGAAATACGACAACGATGGATGCCGTCATTTTCATGTGTGCATCATGTAATACTGCACTTTCATTAAAGAATCAAATATCTCTGAATGTTTTAGTAGATTTGTATTACAAGTGTAATCGACAACTTTTTGATTTTAGAATAAATGTAATGCAAAACATCAAAATGGGAAAGAACGTCTCACATATTCTGTCTTTATAGTCTTGTTATCACTTTTCTCATAATTGTTAATTGTATTGCGAATATAGCTTTTTTGTTTCAAATTCTCTGATTTCGAAACAAAATAGAAAGAAGAAAAGGATTTCTATTGTTCGTCATCGTCAGGGGTGTCCGTGCTTGGACCAGAAGTTGGTGACGGCGTGCTCGGAGCAGAAGTTGGTGACGGCGTGCTCGGAGCAGAAGTTGGCGACGGCGTGCTGGGGGTACTTTCGCCGTGACTGCGTATCTTTCTACCGGGTTTGGCAAAGGCTGAAGTAAAACGCATTTGTGTAACACTTATTCAAATATGAATAGCAGAAACTGAAAAAATATGTATATACGAGGTAGCCGTTGAATTAAAATCCAAAAGTGAAATGATTTACTAGTATAAAAAATAATGAATATAAGAATTAAAAAATATTAAAAACAATAGTCCCAAAAGAAAAAAAACAAGTAAGTAAAAAACTCAGCAAACGTTAAAAAATGCAGCAAATTGTATGTTGATTTACTTCTAAGGAAAGATACTATTAGTATTTATCCAATTTATAAGTTAATTGACTATTTAGTTATGGGCAATAAAAGTTACTATCCCGAGCGTGAAACAGCAATTATTGAGTGCTTGACAGATTTGGGTTCACACATTATAAGAAAAATTTCCATAAGTACATAATTTCACATTATTTCACAGATAAAATTTATACCTTACATTTGTCCAATATCTGAATTTACTCATATTTGAATACCCAAAGCTGTTTGAGCCTACGTATTCCGTGAATGCTAATTAACTGTTGCTGACTTAAAAGTCCAATAATAATAATAATGATAATAACGATAATAATTATAATGGTAAATTGGTTTTTCAATTCAACGACGATCGCTACATTTGACTTACCTGCTACTGTAAGGCAAACCAGGAGTAGGACAATAGCGGTCTTCATATTTGATACTGGAACTCTGAAGCGACAGTGGCAACGATATCTTGGACTTGTAGATAAGCTGTTGAATATAGTCTTCCCCACGAACCTTCTCAACTGAAAATAAGCCCAAAATCACCGTAATTTATGTGTTTAACTCAAGAAGGCGTGTCACCAACAGTTTGCGTTACAGTTTTTAATACTTAATGAATGATGGAGGTAAACGTTTCGCACACGTAAAATTGCAATTTGTAACAATCAGAAGATTGAACATTTTTTGCTTTTTCAGCTCCAAACAATTCTCGAGCAAATGAATATTTAGCAATTTAATCAAGCTTTTTTTGTTGATAATTCGTATCAAGAACAGCATATTTAGAACATAAGTTGTAACATTATCGAAATGCGGACAGAGAGGGGTAATGACCGCATGGAGATACCGAACAAAGACCTACACACAATGGACAATACTACTGAACCAATACTTTGGGGGAGATAAATGACTGTGGAATGATATGCTCCTGGTATCATTTTAAGCCCCCTTTACACTGGACGGCGTCCCTTCTGCGTCCCGCAGAACGGCCCCGTTTGAAAGTAAAATAAAATATGATATTTCACGTGCCGACAACTGCCGATCTTGAGCATTCATTCTGTATCCAAAGCGATGATTGTGCCTCCTTTCTAAGACAGTTTCATGGTCGCACAAAGGACGCCATCCAGTGTAAAGGGGGCCTTTATCAACATTAAACATAAAAAGACCAACAATATAATTAATTCCATGGTACAGCGGTTTTATAATCATTAGTCACATTATAAGTAGACTAGGCATTATAACTTTGATTACTCTGATTCAGGGGGTGACACTTCTATTGTCCAATGTGTGTATGTGTACCCTGTAAATCCCAAGCGTGTTCGGGTGTGGTTTTTTAAATCGATGGAAGAGGAGTAGCTGGGCATGAGGGGAAAAGACAACGTCTTAGTGAAGGTGTCGGGCCTGTGATTCACCTCCATGTCTTGAACACCAACCACATAGCCTTGACAGAAGACTAGCATCATTAACCTATATGCTTCATTATTGATACAACTGTTTGCGTTCCAGATGACGCGGTTTTATAATTGGAATAGTTCTGGCATTGATTTGAGAACATTTAACGATGGTAATGTCAATGCACTAAATCTACTAGGTCAGTTACTGTAGCTGCATTGGACGCATTTATTTTCGGTCCCTTTACAATGTGAGTGCAAAAAGGATCGAAGCAGTCTGAAAGACAAACGATAAAAAAGCGCCTGAAACAATGCAAGGGGCTGCTACGGGGACGCCCTTTACCAGGGGAATAAATTATTTTTCACTAGGTATTCACAGATATGTCTCTAGGTCACTGATGGCACTATTCTGCACTGTGAGCCTGTGATGAAATCTGAAGGGTGATTGCGTGGCCGGCCATTGTTTGCATAATCAAGATAATTAACTGTTCTGATCTTAATCACTTGTCTTTCTGTGACAGATAAAACAGCCCCTTATGAAAAGCCTGCTACTTCGGAACAAGGCTAAACGCGGTAGTTGTACAAAATAGGTGTTTTTTGTTAATTTAAAAATATCTGTTTTTTTATTCTTTGGACAGAAACGCCTCGGTTATAATTTTCTTTTACTATAATCTAATATTTTACTAGATAAAATAATGGATTAAACGGAAAGTAATTTATTAAATTCACATTTACTCTTTCAATGTTCATTATACATACAATGCTTTTGCAGAGTTCCACGTAACACATATGATAAAAATCCATTTTTCTTAAATAAAAAATAATAAAAACATTGTATTGGCTGTCAGCTCTTTCGTAATCTGTACTGAACTTTTTGAGCTCAATTCAACGAGTCGGCAGGACGAAATCTTTTTTATAGGCCCTTTATATAGGCCCACTATAAGTGTTCATCCATATATAGGCGTGGTCGCTCTGCCTGTTGACTTTACAGGGCTACTTGTTTGACTCATATCGACCTTCCCACCCTGTAACCTGATGTGACTGCCCCCATTTTTCTTAAAACTGCAGTACGGAATTGTGAGATGTGGTATACTTTGTTTTGGGGAACCGTGTCAAACCACGTGTCTTTTTTTAGCAGACAGGCAAGCCAAGACAGGTTGCGTAACGAGCGTGCATTATAACATCAGCTCGAAGCCCAGCTCTTGCAGAGCAAATGTCATGCCATCTGCAAGCGTGCAGATTAAATTGCTTCCTTCAGGCCAAAAGTTACAGGGTGTCATCATTATCTGCGATTCTGGTAGAAGATACATGCACTTCGTGGATGGTGTTACCAATTTGAGTCAAAACTGAACTGACTGTTAGCCATGTGGCTGGCGGTCTCATTTTGGACTGGTTAGAGCAAAGCGATCGCACAATCAGCCTCTAGTGTGCATTGGAAATACCCATTCTTCTTAAATATCTGTGGGATTATATACGCAACATAATGATATTTTTGAATGTAGATTATCAATTTGCCATCTCTTTCTCAACTTAGCCACAATATGACATTGATAGTCTTTTAAAGCCAAAGTTTAAGCAATCGGGGCATTAATAGTGTTAATTATACCTTTACCTTGGATAACGTTGATTCATATATTATTGCAATAAATAAGTATAGTTTGAACAGTGATTTAGTCACGAACAACCTTAGTTTTAACTGAGGGCACGGACTCAGATTAAACAAACATGTATAGACAGAGGTTTCGAATGTCCTTCTGTATCTACAACGTGCATTTTTGTGTTACTTTCTTTTCCAATGTATTTCCGATCCAATGTTTATTAAGATACGCCTTCCCTGTTGAAGGAGATTTTGGTGTGGGAAAATGGAAACATTTTGTTGAATACGTTACATGGCAGGAGATTACTTGCACTGTTCGTACAAGCGAGATCGGCTTCCATTGAAGCGGGTCACTTGTGTAAATCTACACAGTTGTTTTACGTGCATACTGAGGCCTTCGGCAATATATATTTAAAATATAGAACAACATTAGTTGTGGATAGAAACACGCGAAAAGACAGTATAATTTTACTGGGCATTTTTCCAAATTTTAATCAGCTTATTGCATGGTGACAAATGCTGTACACACAGCTAGGTCGGCGAAGTGAAGACACAGGTCAGTCAGGCCGATAAGGTCGATTAAGTGCACAGCGTCTCTCACCACTCAAGTCAGCTGCATTTTGATTATAATCATTTAATTCTAAGATCCACAACAGCATTATTGAATTCAGTTTGCCACTCGAGAATGTTCACGAAAGTCTTCCCCACCTGCCTGTCCTAAGGTGTACGTCAATATGCAATAACAGCCGCAACAACAACAACAACAATATTCATATCAATTCTGGTAACAAAAGTCACAATTTAATGGTTCGGGAATACATCTGTCTCTAGATGCTTGTGAATTATTGCCTAAATTTAATTAATTTAAACCAGAAGATTTAAGCTTCCCAAACGACTTTTGTCTTCTCAGTGTTTTGCCATTCAGTTTTAAGACAATTAAGGACACATGGACGAGCTTGAAGACAGGCCTATTTAATCTAACGACACAGATACCTAGCTGTATGATTCACTGCGTTTCATAATTTAAACGGTCGATTCCACAACATGACAGAGAACAAGGATATGCGGGTTTCCAATAAATGATGAAAAAATCAACACCTATCACGGTGCCATACTTTAGCTTTTCGTATAGTCTGTTTACAGTTATAGCATAGCTTATCATTTTTCATGAAAAAAATATCAGAGAATGAAATCATCAAAACTGCTTTTCTTTCCTACAAAGACATTGCAACTTACTCAGAGATAGATGTGTTAGAGGATTTTGTTAAAATTTAAAGATATCATCCTATTCTATTTATTAATGGAAACAATATTTCACTTTCATCATTTTCGCACAGCCATTCAAACGAAACCCAAATCATAGATATCAAAACGTACTAAATTATTCGAAGTGAATAATAATTTTAAATAAATTGCCCTTTTCTTACCAATTCAAAGTACAGGTTGCGTTTCATTGATTTGTTGCTCCCTCAAAATGTTTACTATTTTAATATTTTCTATAATTTCATTGTGTACAATATAATATATAACTGGGTCTACACATATTATATTCTTGAAGGGCATCAAGTGAAAACACGACAGTGGTGGACATTTCACCTCGAAGCAATCCATTGTGCTAGAGGAGCCACTGACCGCATTCACAATCAAAGTTGATCCACTTGAAGGTCTGTCGCGTGATCCCTGGCGCGATCGAATCTATTCAGTGTCTATTAGGGAGTTAAGCTTTCAAGTAGAGCGGCCATATTTTGATCCTCGGATGTCTTAATCCGCGGATCAACTGGTTGTGAATGCGCCATTGGATCGGATGTCATTGGGATAGAACTGGGAATCTTGAGCAAAAAAGGACCAAAAGTTTATACTGTTTATCAACTATGACACTATTTAAAAAATAGGAGAAGCGGTCCACATGCAAAATGCCACATTCTTTCGCAGTATTATATGTCAACCTTTTGAAGTAGGCCTTCATCTCTCCTTACACATCTGAAATAAATTGAAGTTAGTTTCAAGTAAAACAAGATAAGATTCTTGTAGTAATGAGGAATCCATGCAAAAATAATTGAAAGAACTTTAATCATATTTCTATTATGTGGATTAATGGTTTTGGTGTGACTGGAGAAAAAACATCTGTCATAAAGTTGATTCGTATTCGAATAACTATGAAAGCGAGTAATTCATTTAGCTGATTATACTGCTTAGATGATATTTGTATGTCAATTAAGTGGTTTTGGTGTGACGAGAGAAAAATATCTGTCACATCATGAAAAAACGATTCATATTTGATTAATTTTTGAGGTGAGTAACTTATTTAGTTGAATATACTGCTATGTGAGGGCTGCGTGAAACGTAACGTGGGCCTATACAAGATGATTCAATATAGGATTTATTTCAAAAATTATATTTTTGTTGTCACTGACTTTCATTTCACATAAAAAGAAAAATTGATTGCATTAACTTGAAATAAAATGTTTGTTGATGTCTTTTAAAAACCTTGAAAATACTAGTTTCTGGATGCCAGAATCGTTTTTCGAAAAACGACACTAGTTTATGGTTGCCAGAATCGT